GGGGGAGCCCCGCACAGGGCCGGCAGCCGATGCGACACCCCGACCCTTCCTACCGCAGCCCCTTGGTGCCCCCCGGGCAGGGGGCTGCGGTGCCCGCCTGGAGCAGCGCCTTCCCGGGGCTCCCCGGTGCCCAAACCCTCCCGGGGCCGCAGCGCGAGTGCCCCCGGCAGCACCCCGTGCTGTGCCTACCTCGCCGCTGTGGTGCGCGCTGCTCCGGTGAGCTCAGCATGGGCTGGGGGCTGGCGAGTGGCTGGATATATACTGAGCTGGGACCCCGCGGAGTTGCCCCAAGGTGAAGCCAAACCACAGAAACATCACAGTTCTCAGAAGAGGAGAAAGCTGCGCTGGGTGGAGCTGCGAGCCAGGACCGTGCTCAGCCCCCAACCCACCCGGCCCAGCCTCGCTGGGACTCACCGTGGGTACTTCCCAGGCTGGGGTGCACTGGGGACCCACTGGCCTGCCCCGGCCGTGGGCACCGCCAGGGTGGTGAGGGCAGGTCCCCTCCCGGGAACTGCTGGGAGTCCCGGGTGCTCCCAGCTCCCGCGAGCGGTCCTGGGCCCCAGGAGCAGCCGAGGGCTCACACATCACCGTGTGCCGCACGGAGCACCCGCAGCCCCCTGCTGTGGGAGGAGCAGGGGTTGAGTGTGGGGAAGGGACCACCGGGGTCCAGCAGTGCCTGCCCTGGGGGCCCGGAGAGGGGCAGGCATGGTGCTTGGTCCCGGCCGGTTGGGCTGCGGTGGGTCCCCGAGGAGAGGAGCGGGTCCCTGCAGAGGCTCAGGGTGCTGCACCCCGCCAGGCAGGGCTGTCTCCCCCCTTCCCCCCCCTCCCAGGGCCACGCAGCTGCCCCGGCCGCTTGTCCCGCGGCGTGCTGTGCCCCGCCTCCCCCCCCTCAGCCCGGCGGGGCCCGGCCCTGCGCCGGGCCCCGGCCCCCGCCGCCTGCAGCCCCAGCCCAGGGAGAGGGGACGGGGCAGCCCCCCACGGCGGGGGCAGGCAGCCCCGGGGCAGGGAGGCTGGGGAGGCATGGGCTGCGCGCCACCGCTCCCGCTCACGTACTTTCTGGGGTTCCTAGAAAGCGAAGGGGGAAGTTCGGGCTCCGCGGAGGCTGTGGGAAGGCCCGGCCCTCACCTTTCTGCCCAACCTTCGAGGCGCTGCGGTGGGGACCGGGCAGCGGAGCCTCCGGGCGCCTTCCTGGGAACAGTGGAGACCCCACGCGCAGGCGGCGAGGAGGGGGGGAAGGAGGGAGACCGGGGACTCAGCTACGGGGATGAAGCAGCCCCATGCCCATGCCAAGGGGTCCACCCTGGGCAGGGGCTGGAGCACAGCACCCGCGCTGGAACCCCCGGCCCCCCGCAGCTCAGCCCTTGGCCACGGTGCCAGGGAGCCACGAGAGAACTTGCTGGAACACTGGAGGGGACCCCAAGGCAGGAAGGGGGACCCCGGGGTGGGGGGCACCTCGTCCCAGAGGAGCGCCCGTGCCCTGTCCCGTCCTAGGGGGAGCAGGAGCTGGCTGCCCACCCCGGCTGCTGCCCACCCCCGCGCCGGCCGCAGCTTCCTCTCTGCTTCTGCAGAAGAGCGCGCGACCACGGAGGGGAAGACCCGGCGCAAAGGCCAGGGCTGCCCCTCGGCGCGTCCGTGTGGCCGGGAGCAGCGGCATGCTACCCAGAACCGGAGGCGGGAGGTGAGCAAGACCAGGGATGCCTCATGTTCAGAAACCCCCCCGGGAGAGGGGAGGCTGCAGGGGTGCGGAGCTGCCCCGCAGGGGCGCGGCGGCTGGGGGAGCCCTCACCCCGCTGCAGGCAGGACCCTGAGGTGGGACGGAGCCCACCCTCGCCAGACCCCTCTGCGGCGTGAGCCCTCCTTGGCTACAATCACAGACGCGAGGCCAGGAGCAAAGGTCACAAAACTTTATACAGGAGAGACCCGCAAGCGGCCCCTCCGCCCCGGGCGCTGCTCCCCCGGGCGCGGGGGAGCGCGACAGGCAGGGCCGGTGGCCCCAGCCCCGCAGTGGCCCCAGCCCCGCAGCAGCCCCCGGGGAAACACGAGGTGAACGAGCCCGGGCGGGGAAGGCCTGCACGACTCCCCAGGCCCAGGGCCAGCGCTCCCCCGAACCGGGCTCTGTCCCCAGGGGAGATGCTGGGGGCCGGTCCCGTGGCCGCTGGCACCACGACCATGGTGCAGATCCGTGGTAGTGGCAGGCTCTGCCTGTGCCTCCCTGGGGATCGGGTCGGCCCCGGCAGCAGCACGACCTCCCCAGGGCTCTCCTCTCCCTGGTGCTCACAAGCCAAGCCCAGGCGGCCCCGAGGCAGGGGCTCCGGTGCCTCCAGCTCACTGCAGCACACAGACTTCCCTCTCCTCATCCTCCCTGCCGGATGCTTCTCCTAGTGGCTCCGGCACCGCCGGCACGTCCTCCACGGCCACCACCTTCTCCCGCAGCTCCATCAGCAGGTCGCGGCTCTCGCTGGGCGGCAGGTTGCTCAGGTAGTACTGGGGTGCCAGCTCCACCAGCCTGCGGGGACAGGGGGTCAAGGAGGGACAGCCGGCCCCGGGGGCCTCCCTGGAGCAGCTGCCTCGCTCCCTGACATGGGGACAGTCCCCCCCACCCCCAGGAGAGGACACCCAGGCCAGGCATCGTGCCCCAGGGCTCTGCTGTGCTCCCAGGCCAGCACCAGATCCAGAGCCATGCACGGACGCAGCCCGGGCACGACCCATTCCTCCCCATCCCCGAGGTCCTCACATTTGGGGCTGGATCTCCGAGACCACACGGAGGCAGTTGTCCTGCGAGATGGTGAACTCGTGGTAGAGGACCCAGGGCGGCAGGCGCTGGGGGGCCTGCCGCAGCAGGTAGCAGCAGGCGGGGGGCAGGTGGGCCACGTGCTTGTGCGTCAGCATCACATAGTTGCCAGAGCCGTCGATGTCCCGGGCCACCTGGGGTACAGAGCGGGAGGGGAGGGGGGCTGGCTGGCACAACCCCCCGCCCCGCGGCCAGGCCCCTCGCGGCCCCCCGGCCCACCTTGAGGAAGTAGCCGGAGATGAGCGCTCTCTGGATGTTGAGCACGTTGGCGTCGGTGCCGAAGGCGGGGGGCGAGACGGGCAGCTCGATGCGCTGCATCACCTCCAGCAGCTCCGCCCGCACGATGCCCGCCAGCCGCAGCGCCTCCCCGCTCACTGCGTGCTTGCGGCACCAGCCCTCGTCCGCGTTGTCTGCGGGGAGAGCAGCGTCAGCACTGCGGGGACAGGGCTGGACGAGCAGAGACCCCACGCGGAAGCGGGTGGCCTGGCTGGGCTGGGGGCTCACGGGCCACAAAACCAGGCACTGCTGCTCCCGCAGACCGCATCCCCTCAAGGCAGCGGGGACAGGGACCGTGTGCGGACAGAGCGTGCGGCTCCCAGGTTGGAGCTGGGACACCTCGCAGCCAGGCTAGGGCACCTGGATGGGGCCATGACAATGTGGCTGCAGTGCTCGCTCCCGGAAGAAGCAGGGGACACGCGAGAGCTGTGGGACGCCCGCGGGGTGTGCCGCCCGCCAGCAGTTCAGCCCCTGCCCGGCACTCACGCTGCTGGAAGGCGTTGAAGATGTTGATGAGGGTGAAGTGGTCTCCGTCCGGGTGGAGCAGGGCCCGCCGGCGCATGGTCACGGCCTCCTCCAGGTGCGTGGAAGGGGGCACAAAGCAGGGGGAAGCTGGGGGTGGCACGGAGGGAAGGTCACCACGTGCCCCCCAGCACCACCCCTGCCAGCGCGGGCTCTCTGGGGGCTGCACCGGGCCGCGCGCCAGCCGCAGAGCGGGCTCTGAGCCCCTCGGCACGGTACCTGTGAGCATGGCGGCCAGGCTGACCATCTCCTCCACACAATCGAACTCGCAGGAGGCAATGAGCGCCTTGGCCAGCTGGGGGTCCAGGGGAAACTCCGACATGATGATCCCCACCTCCGACAGGTTCCCATCATCGTCCAGGGCAGCCAGGTAGTCCAGGTCCTCCAGTGCTTGCATCAGCGACTCGGGGGCTGGGGCAGGATGTCAGCCGGCTGCCAGGACCAGGCAGCCCCGCCCATCCTCCTCCTGCGCCCGTGGGACCCTCCAGCCCCTCTCCAGAGACAACCTGGGCTGCAGTGATGGCCACGGCCATGGCCAGCCTCCAGCTCCTCCCGCACAGCCACCCCTACTATGCCCCTCCGCTCAGGCTCCCCCCACGCCGTGCCCGGTCCCTCCACGCCCCGCGGGCAGTACCTGGCCGGTCGAGGAAGTCGCACTGTCCCATGTCGGCGATGTCCAGGCGCTTCAGCAGCAGCACGAGGCGGCTGAGGCTGGTCTCGCTGACGTGGGGTGCGGGGCTGGGGGGCAGGCGCTGCTCATAGAAGGCCTCCGAGTAGAGGCGTAGGCAGGTGCCTGCGGGAGAGGGGCTGTGAGCCATGACGGTGGGAGGGACAGAGCCCGGGGACAGGGCAGCAAGCGCAGGCAGGCGGGCGGGCAGGCAGGGAAGCGTGCTGGGCCATGGGCTGCCTGGGGCCCCAGCGGAGTGGGACAACAGCCCCGTCCCACTGGAGGCACATTCGGGGGACGCCCAGGCAGGGGCTCTCACCTGGGGGGCTGCCTGCGGCTCGCTGCATGCGCGACTCTGCCTGGCTCTTGCTGATGGGCCGCAGCACCTGGGACTCCGCCCGGATGCGGGGGTTGTAGACCTGCAGGCGAGGCTGTGAGAAGGGACACCCGCAGACGAGCCCCCGCCTTCTCCAAAGGTCCCTCCACCCTGCCGGTGCAGTGCCGCCACTGCCGCCTCCCTGGGGAGGGTCCCGTGCCCCGCACAGCATCCCCCAGCCTGGGGCATCACGCAGAGCCCAGGCCGAGCAGACAACGCAGACCGCCGCGGCCCCGCCGCTCCCTCCCCAGACTCGCCACCGCCCGCACCGTCGGCTGCGCCCCTGAGCAGAGCCAGGCCCCCCCGCTCGCCGCCGCTCGGCTCCCCGGCCCGCGCTGGCACACACTCACGTTGCGCAGCTCCAGCCCCGAGTCGATGACAAAGCGCACGGTGCCCAGAGAGAAGGACGAGTCCGCAAGCCAGTGGGTGACGATCACCCGCCTTTCTCGGCTGCTCTCCTCCAGCGCCTCGTACACCTTCTGCGCCGCGCGGCCCACACCGGGGTGCAGGGGCAGGACCAGCAGCGGGCCCAGCCCCGGGTTCAGCGCCACGGCCTCGGTCTGGATGGCGCCGCAGCACTCGGCGATCTCCTGCAGGGAGGGATGGGGGGACAGGAGTGATGCCCGCCAATGCCTGGAGCGGCCCTGTCCCTGGGACGGGGCGCTGCACCATGCCCTGGGGCTAAAAGCCCCGGGTCCCACACGGTGCCCGCTGTCCCCCAGAGAGGAGCCCCAGCTCTCGCAGTTTAATCCCCAGCAGCCCCCGCTGTCCTCAGGGCTCCCTGCACACAGCTGAGAGGGATCCCCCAAACCTTTCCCCATCCCCATTCCCCCCTGCCTCATGGCGCAGCAAGTCCCCCAGGAGCCAAGCCGTGGGTGCCTGCAGCCCACCCCCCCCCCCGGCCGAGGAAGAGCAAAATGTGCCCGGCCCCCTGCCGCCGGTGGATGTCCAGCACAGCCTGGCAGGCAGCTGCAATGCGGCCGCGGGCCAGCGGGTCCCTGTAGAGCAGCTGGGGAGGGGGCCCCCGCCCCGGCACCCGCACCACGGGGGGGTCCCCGCAGAAGGCGCGGAGCCGCTCCTCCATGGCTGGCGAGGTCACCACCACCACCTTCAGCGCGGGGCGCTGGCGCAGCACGTCCTTCAGCAGCCCCAGCAGCACGTCGGTGGGCACCGTCCGCTCCTGCGCCTCGTCCAGCACCACCACCCCGTACTGCCGCAGCAGCGGGTCCGACGTCATCTCCCGCAGCAGCATCTCGTCCGAGCAGTACCTGCCACGGTCCGGCACTGTCAGCCTGGGGTGGCCGCGGGGACCCCTGGCACTGCGGGCTGCACCCCTGCGGGCGTCCCTGCGCCCAGCCCTGGGGGAGCACGCCTTGCCCCCTCCCCGCCGGCAGGAGCCCCCACGGCAGCCCTGGGAGGGCCCAGCCAGCCAGCAGCCCACTTCGTCACTCCCCGCAATGAGGCCAGGCTGGATTAGGAGATTACGCTGCCACTGGAGAGCTCAGCGGGATCAGAGCGCGGTGCGACAGGCGCTCACGGCACAGGCAGCCCGCGGGGGCCCCCCCGTCCCCGTACCTGAGGATGGTCTCGGTGGTGCAGCAGTCCTCGTGGGGGACGCAGTAGCCGACCTCGTGGCCCAGGTTCAGGTCCATCTCATCCGCCACGCGCAGGGAGAGGCTGAGGGCGGCCAGGCTGTGGGGCTGGGTGCAGGCCACCAGGCCGTGGGCGAACTGCAGGGAGAGGGCGTACTCCGCGCACCACTGTGGGATCTGCAGGACCAGAACGCAGGTCAGGGCCTGGGGACAGCGTGGCCCTGGCCAGGAGCACCAGGACATTCCCCTCACTGTCATGGAGTGGCGCCTGCTGTGCCCCCCCAGAAGGGCAGAGGGACCCTCCCCACAGCACCCCCAGAGATCCAGCTGCAGGACCTCCAGGGCCAGAGGCCGTACTGAACCACTCAACAGCCCAGGCGGGACCTTCCCTCCCCTGGTACCGTCGCTTCTGAGCCCCAGCAACCTGTGA